AAGCTGTGAAAGGCAAGGAAATGGATTTAGGCAGCAGAAACTTATCTCCTCACGGTTCTGGAGGCTAGAAGTCCAACATCAAGGCGAGATTGGGATTGATTCCTTCTAAGGTCAGTCTCCTTGGCTTGTAGACGGCAGCTTTCTCCATATACGTGTCTGTGTCCCAATCTCTTAAAGCATAACAGTTTTCTTAGTCTGTTTTTCAGCTGCTATAACAGAATACTGGGACAGGGTAATTTATAAAGAAAAGAGGTTTATTTAGCTCATGGTTCTACAAGTTGAGGAAACTGAAAAAGGCAAGGAAATGGATTTTCCAAGAGGAACCAGCCCTATAGACATGCTAATTTTAGCCTTGTAAGACTCATTTTGGATTTGTGGACTCCAGAACTGTAAGACAATACATTGTATGGGTTTTCTTTTTTTTTGTTTTTGAAACAGGGTCTCACTTTGTCACCTAGGCTGGAGTGCAATGGTGAAATCTCCACTCACTGCAGCCTCAACCTCCTGGGATCAAGTGATTCTCCTGCCTCAGCCCCCAAGGAGCTGGGACTACAAGTGCACATCACCATGCCTGGCTAACTTTTGTGTATTTTTTTGCAGAGATGGGGTTTCACCATGCTGCCCAGGCTGGTCTCGAACTCCTGAGTTCAAGTGATCTACCAAGCTCAACCCCCCAAAGTGCTAGGATTACAGCCACAAGCCACCGTGCCCAGCCAAGTTTTATTATTCATCTCCTGGAATGAAAGCTGGAAAGCTGCTCAGGGAGCCATGGTTCGCTGCAGGAACCCTCCAGAATGTTCTCTATCTGGGTGCCAAAGGCTAGTTTGGCCCTCTGTATAGTCAGAAATACCACCTGCCTGTGGCTAACGCTGGAGGACAATGTCTCCCGGAGGTTCTCTCACACAGCGACTGTGTTAATCCCATGGCCTCTGGCTCCTGCTGCCTCTCTCCATGGCTACCCCCCAGGTAGTATCCTCACTTTCTGCCTGGACCACCTCTCACTGGAGTGAGCCACAAAAAAAGACTGTTTCCATTACTCTCACTCCAGCTGGCTCCCTCCCTCCCTCCCTCCCTCCCTCAACCTGCCACCTACTCTGCTCCTATAGCAAAGAGGCTCCTCAGTATCTCAGCCTCTGGCCCCCTAACCAGCAGTATCTGGGAGGAAGAAATCATACGCTCAACCTCCTTGGCTCCAAGGAGTCACTTGTGGTCCTTTACCTCCTACTCTGAAATGATCCACCAGTACCACCATCTTTTTGGCTTTCCAGGTCAAAACCAGAAATCATCCTGTTCTTCTTCCTGCACTCCCTACACCTTACCCATCTCTCTGCTCTACCTGAAAATTCTATCCGCAATCTGATTATTCCTCACCACCTCCAAGGCTTCCACCCTAGACTTCAGCACCAGCACCAAGGCTTCTGGCCTGGCCTCTTAGCTCTCCCTCTCCCCTGCCCCCCACCGGCTATTCTGTACTGGCAGCCAGTGTAATCATTTAAAAATGTAAATCAAGTGCTACCTCCTGCTTTTACCCTTCGACAGCTTTCAAAACATTTAAAATAAAATTAAATTTCTTGATCATGGTCTACAAGAATGGCCTTACGAGCTGCATCCACCCAATTCTCACTGTGCATCTGTGATTTCCATTCCTACCACATTGAGCTGACTTTTGTGAAACCCTGGTTTTCGCTGTCCTGACCCTCATCTCTATCCTCAGGTCTTCACTTGGATCTTTATCCTTATTTACACTATCAGCTTGTTTAAGTCCATTCAAGCTGCTGTAACAAAATATCTTAGGACTGGGTGACTTATAAACAGCAGAAATTTCTCACTGTCTGGAGGCTTGGCAAGTTCAAGGTCACAGCACATTGTGTCTGGTGAAGGCCCATGTTTGGCTCATAGATGGTGTCCTCTCACTTAATGGAAGGAACAAGACAGCTCTCTAGGGCCCCTTTTGTAAGGGCACTTATTCCATTCATGAGGGCTCTACCTTTATAACCTAATCACCCTCAAAGCCCCATCTCCTAATATATTCACATTGGCGATTAGATTTCAACATACAGATTTTGGAGGCAGACCACTGCAGAGCTTAAAATCTACCTCCCTAGGAGTCTTTTCTGACACCCCTTACCCAACTGACTCTTACTGCTGTTTTGCTTTCATGCCAGTTGGTTTTGCAGCCTGACTACAATATAAACTTGAAGAAAATAGAGGACTTGCTTATTCAAAGATGCATCCTCAGTGTCTGGCAGGTATTCAATAAATATTTTTGAATTGGATTCCACCAGTAGATGGCTAGATTTGAAAGATATGCCAAATATTATACTGCCAATCCAAAACTCAGTGGAATCTTTCACTTGCATGACCTAACTGCACCTCTTAAATTGAGAATAAATTTAAGATCCATCCCCTGTTCATATCTCTATTTTAGAAAGAGAGTACTTGGGCTGACATTAAAGGAGTACCTAGAACTGGGCTGAGTGTATTACATGTTACTGTATTTAAATCCAGCAATCTCTCAAAGTAGTTATTACTAACTCTAGCCTCACAGCTGAGGACCCTAAGGCTGAGGGGTTTATTTGCTGATGAGGAAGTGATGGCACTGGGATATGAACCTGGGTCTCGTCTCTACAGCTTTTTCTTCCCCTCACCACCTTGAGCTGAGCTGCAGCCCCTCCTCTTCCAACTGAACTGTTGTTTCATAAACGACCAGATGAAATGATGGCAGTGAATCAAACCACACACACCACCTGCCAGTGACACCAGTGGGGCTCAGACACACATGCCTCCTACACCTAATACTTGGGTGGGATCCAGTGAGGACCAAGTGGCGGCCTGCTTCATGCATGCACTCTGCCTCCCTCTTCAAGATGAACATTCTATAAAGTACTCATCTTTTACTGTGCATTCAGTCACAAGAAAACAGGGCAGAGAGACCACACTTCAGATTTCAGAAATGCCTCACATCTAGTTGGTGGAGTGCCAGGCTCTAGGCCCAATTCTGTCATTCTTTAGGTCCAGCTGTATAATTCTGGGCCCCTTAGCTGACCTTTCTGGGCCTTAACTTTACACACACAAAAGGGGTCTGTGTGGCTATATGATGGTCTTGAAGAAACACTCCAGCTCCATCATTCTATAATTTGGGAATAGGACGTGGTTTTTATTAACCTATTTTACTCTGGACACTGGCACCTCACATTTTCTATATAGAATGTTGCCTTAGAAGTCTGGGGAATATGGTGTTGGCATCGTAGAATCTCAACAGCAAAGCTGTCATCTGTTCTAAACTAAAAGAAAAATCAACAGGCAGTCCTAGCACCATATGTACCTCTTAATTTTATATCCAGAAGCCAGCCAAGACCAAAAATATACATTATTCAATATTTACATCAGGCCTCTGAGAATCACATTGCCCATTCTGCACTTAAATGCACTGCATTAATTTGAAAGGAAAGGGTGTGGCAAGGGGAATGCTAACCAGATTAATCACCATCTCTCTGTTTTTAGTGGCACTTTAAGTGTATTCCTGTAAGGAGAAGGTGAAAAGTTGTGGCCTAATGACATCTAACACAATAACTTAATAACTATTGGGGAAAAGATCATTCAAAATTAATCTCAGTTCCCCCTTATAAGCACTACCACTTAATAAGCTTCAACCATGTGCAATACAGACAATATAATTCTAGCCCTCCTGGCAAATTCTGCAGTAAAGTTCTCAGTTTATACGTGGGTACCTAAGGGAAGTAACATACTTCACGCAAGTTTCATGAAAACCATTTCTGCCATGCCATGAAGGCAGGGGCGAGGCCTTCTATATATATTTGCCGGATGTAAGATTCTTTTCAAAATGACAAAATAAGTTTCATACGTAAGTCTGGTTGCAACACCCTTTACCATTCCTCTCATTTTAAAGGCCTCATTTAAACCTTCAAGGGCTTAATAAACTAATCTGGCTGATTACACATTGACCGCAGAGATCGCCTTCTCCCTGGAAAACCGCAGTCAAGCGTAGGGAGCGGAGATGCTTTGGAGAAGATAGCAATCTTCCTATCCCATAGGCCAAAAATTTCTAAAAATCAAATAAGTTAGCTGCGTTCTTAGCCAGTAATAAACTGCCTGAAAGAGCTCTTAAGTTTTAGCAATTTTTCTTTATGTGCTGTAATTCTCTCTCCGGACACTAACCAGGGGAGAAGTGTTTAAAACCCCAGGGAAGCCAGCTGCTACTCTGAGAACTCGTGCCCTCCTCTGCACAAAGCCTCCCACTGCACAATGATCCCTTGTATCCAGGACCCGGAGGGCCTAGGGCACAAGGAAATTGAACTCTAACTTGCAAGGCTGCAAAACAAAGCAGTTTCAAGCCAGAGGCCTTCAAATGGTGAAGTCCCAAAATGGGACGCCTGTACTTCTTTTCTGTGCTTTTAAAAAAGTCTCGGAATCCGTACAGCATTACGGTGCTGGGAAAAACTTCAGCATGGAGAAGGCCCACGTTTAGAGGAAAAAAGCCGGAAGCAAGCAAAAGAGCAAGTAAGCAGTTCTCCCACGTGGGCCTCAGGCAGCAAGCGGAGTCAGAGAGCGGAAGCCGAAGTCCCGCAAGGCACTAAGAGACGGTCACAGAAGCTGCAGGCGCCCAGACACCTGGGCCACCTGCTGGCTCCAGCCGGGTGCCTTTCTTGGAAGAAGAGTGGTGCTCGGGAATGGCGGCGGCATGGGCGCAGCTTCTCACACCCACGACCCCTCTTTCCAAAGGGGTGCCGACCCCCTGTGGGGTGCGGGTGCAGATGAGCCAAAAGGTGGTGTGTGTGTGTGTGTGTGTGAGGGGTCGTTTGCAAGCATACCCTCTCCTCGCGCGGCAAGTGAGTCCCGAGTGCCGCGTCCCAGTCCCTCCCGGCCACTGCAGGGGCGCAAAGGCAGGGCGCACAGCCCCCCGAGGCGCGGTCCCCCGGGGCGGAGGCGAGAAGGCACCCGGCAGGGCGGACCGCTGCACCTGGGAGGGCTCATCTCACCTTCACGACGGTGGTGGTGGTGCTTGAAGCCATGTCTGCACGGGAAAGGAAGCTGCAGTGGGCGAGCACTCGGGACTAAGGGAACCAAACGAGCCAAAGAGCTGCAGCTGTGCCAACCTCACAGCGCGGGAGTCGGCAGTGCGGAGACCCGGGGCGGGCCCTGGCTCCTCCTCTTCCTCCCCGGGACAGCTGGATTGGCTGCTTGCGTGGGATCTCCGCCGCCACCCCTTCCCCAAATCGAAGTTCCCGCGTTCCGCCCCTTTTGCAGACCTTTCCGGTTCCCCAGATTTTTGTTGTTTTTTTCATCCACAGTTACGACTAACGGATGACGATCATAATGGAGGCCATTTATGGAGCTCTGTATTGTTCCAGACTGTGTGTTTTGCCCTTTAATTGGTCCACTTAACTTTCACAAAAACCCTGTAAGGAAGAGCAGCCCTCCCTGCTTGGCCCAATGTTAGCGGCGTCGGAGGCCTGGGCTGCAAAGTCAGGCCCCGCGGCGTTCCAGAAGTTCTCGCGGGAGGGAGAATCCTCCTCAGGAGGGAACGGGCGGCCCCTGAGATTCTCTGGGGCAGTTAACGCGGGGCGGCGGCCGCGGCAGGGACGGCGTTTGCCCTTCCTTCGGCTGCGAACCCGCCGCGGGTTTGCGCATTTCCTTCATTCCTAGAGGACAGAGCTGGGATGGACTTGACCGTAGGCGCAGGGATGACGAAAGGGAAATACACGGAACAACGTGCTACTGGATAATCTTTCTGATTTACAAACTACGATTTACTAATTTTCAGTTTGAGGGGCGGCTCTTAAGGGGTTGGGACCCTGCGCAACTCCTGCTCTACCCGGCAGGGGGCATCTTTAATCCTTTCTACACCGCAGCGGCATCCAATACACCTGGATTCAGGTTCCAGATTCGGGTCTCCATCATTCAACACTAGCAGGACACACGCGCGCGCGCGCACACACACACACACACACACACACACACACACACGCCCTTTAGAAAGATAATCTCACACACACACACTAGCCCTTTAGAGGGATAATCCCTCATTCTCAAAGCCCTCATCCCTTTTCTACTGGGATAATCCAATTTAACCTTCCTGGATGGATGAAGCGCTCTGAGACAAAATAATGGGTAGCAAGGATCTTAAGGGTGGACTCTGAGATATAGAAATACTGCAAATTAGCTTGGAGGTGGGAGGAGGACCAAGAAAGGAGATGCTTTCCTCTTTCCTTACAGCAACAAAACAAGGAAACAAAACACAAGTACAGTTTAATTTAAAATACCATTGTGATGTTAGCCTGGAAATTGCTCATAGAACCTGTTTACTTAAACAGTATAGACTTTTGTCCTCTCATTACTATATGCTTTAGGTCTAAATTTTCTCACAATGTAAAATTTTCTTCTGTTACAACCATCTATTTCTTTTACGTTATAAAATGAAATGGCAAAAGAGGAATAAAAGTAGAATCCGGGTGCTCCTTTGAGGAATAGGAGACTGGGCGCCCTTGGATGAAGAGAATGTAGCTTTCAAGAGGCCTTTCTGCTGATTGCTCGGTTGAGGAGCAGGAAGCCCACCACTCAGAAGTGAACCATTGAGGGCACAGGGATATCCTGGGCTTTATGGCCGCTACCTAAGTAGGGGATCCCAGCCAACTTAAGTGCCTTGATATGACTAGCAAGTCCAGTTTCTCCTCAGCACTGCATCTCTGCTAAAAGGAAGACACTGTAACTAAGTTAGATCCTGTAAGCATAAAATATCCCTAGGCATAGGATTTGGAAACTTAGGGGAGGACCAGGCTGAACTTTTGGACAAAATTTTCTGCCGTAACTTGCAGATAAGGGCTCAAACATTTGCTCTTGAAAATGTGACTTTTGTGAAGAAAAAATTATTCTAAAGTTTGAATTTCATATAAACTTCACATGTGACAAAATATTATTCTACTTTTGATATTTTTCCAACTACTTAAGATTGTAAAAAAGCATTCTCAGTTCAAAGTTGTTCAAAAACAGGTGGAGAGCTGGGTTTGGCTGAAATATTGGGCCATTGTTTTCTGCTCAAGGCAGTGCCTGAATCAAATGACCTCTTGCTACCCAAAGGCCATTGGATGACCCTTGCGCAGGCTTGTAGGACAGTGCTTTCTTTAGTATGGTGTCTTTGAAAAGGTAGGCAGTACTATTTTTGCCTTATTTCCAAGTTTTGAGTCATGTTTTTTCTTAAGCCCTAAAATAAAAGGAAGATAACTTTTTCAATAATCGGTAGTCTCCTTTTTTAATTGCTATGTCAACAAGGAGAGTCTCAAGGGTCTATCTATGAACATAGATTTTGCCCTGCCCTTCTGTTCTTATCCTACAAATCCCCCTCTGTTAACCGTACCCTTGCTTTTCTGAAGATATTTGTAAAGAACTAGGTCACCTTACAACAACACTGATTATGAAACAATATAAAGGTTTCAGCTGCATCCCACCTTTTGATAATCTCTCATAAATGTCTTCCCAGCTTCTAGGTTCTAGCTAACAAAGTACTGAAATGGTATCACCAATAGCTGAGTATATTGGGTCTTGAGCAATGGTTCTTCAGTATCCTACAGTTCCCTCTTATTAAACATGTTATTTTTGAAGTCTTCTCCAAACCATTTCAGAATCATCAAATATTCAAGAGGAGGTATTCACACAAATGCATGGAATGTATTACCTCAGCCAACCATATCAGCTTTCTCACTGAATTGTTTTGTTTCTGCCCCTGACCAGTGTGTCTGTGCTGGATGGGGACTCAAGCTGGCTGGTAACTCATCCTCATCTGGAGGTATTAAAGCTGACAAGTTGTCATGGCTTAAGAAACTCACCTAAGTCCCCACTACCTTGTAGATATTTGGGCCAAAATAAAAATTCTAAATACTGTGGAAGTGTACTTAGAGATCCCCAATTCTATCTGAATCAGATCTTTTTACAATACACTTGTATCACAGCTACAATGAGTAGGGACATGTTGGCCACTACTTATGACAATGGATTAGAGTCCCACATTGGAAGCTTAGTGAAAAAAGCTAAACTTTTATTAGCAAGCAGCCACTCTAGATTTAGCAGAACATGGTTAAAAAAATATCTGTAGGAACAATAAGTAAGCTGATTGTAATAATGACAATAATACTTTTTTTAAATTATTGTATCTTTCTCAGCCAGGCATGCCTATGCCAGCATGAGGAACCCAAAGATACTGGTATAAATTCAGGTTCAAAATCCACGACATCATCATTGTGCAGACTGTGGTCATGGGGAAGAAAAAAATTAACCCCAAAGAGACTCAATGCCCATAATAAAATTGTGTTCAGAGAAACTTTTCCACAGGGAATTGTCAGAATAGTCAACTTCTTTTTACCCTGCCCAAGAAGGAAAACAATGTGATGAAAAGAAAATAGTGGCCAGTATTTATTAAGATAAGAAGCAAAATATATGCAAATAGGTATCAGGCCAGTTCTAAGGTAACGTTCTGAAAAAAATTGAATATAATTGGGTAAGTGTATAAGAGATTTGTCTGCAATACATGTGCTCTTAACACTCTTGATTATAAATAACTAGACAAATTATTGGTCTAAAAATACAGCTGGCCAGATGCAGTGGCTCACGCCTGTAATCCCAGCACTTTGGGAGGCTGAGGCGGGCAGATCACGAGGTCAGGAGTTCGAGACAAGCCTGACCAATATGGTGAAACCCCATCTCTACTAAAAATACAAAAATTAGCCAGGTGTGGTGATGCGTGCCTGTAATCCCAGCTTCTCTGGGGGCTGAGGCAGCAGAATTGTTTAAACCCAGGAGGCAGAGGTTGCAGTGAGCCGTGATTGCACCACTGCACTTGACAAAGGGAGACTTTGTCTAAAACAAAAACAAAAACAAACCAGCTATGTTTCTTTACTCTGACTATACAGTATAGACCATGATGATACCACATAATCATTAACATTTTAGTAACTGGAGACTTAGTTTTTTTTGTCATAGAAAGCCTAATTAACTAAATCTTTCTAAATTTCTTATATTTATTGATTAGTGACTATTACTCTAAAATTTTAAGGAAATAAGAACAAAAATTAAAGAAAAATGTTCCATTCTCACATTATCATAGTGACAAAACAAAATAAGTAGTATGTCACAGGTGAAGAAAATATTACTGAAATCTAATTTTAAAAATGCATTTATTGCAGGTACTTTATAGAGGCAATTACAAGAGATATACCAGCTCGCTCAAAATATATATCACATTTTAGGTGGCAATTCCTTATAATGACCTTTAATGAAAGTGGAGAGTCCAATTATAAAGCATAACTTGGCATCCGTGTTTTGGGTTGAGGAAAGAACCTCAAGCTTTAAAATGAAATCAGCACGGTCAGTTTTGACAGTCTGCTTTAAAGTTGGTATGCTCTAGATAGTTGGAATTTCCCAAATGTTTCTTGTTGCAATCGAATCAAGTTTTACTTCTTAGTTTTATTCATTCATTTCTTCTATTGGAAGTCCATTTGACCCTAGAAATAGCTAGAAATAGGCTTCATTGCAAATTGCCTTGTCTTTTCTTCAATATTCACTTCAAAATGTATCTCCCCTATCATTTCTGAAACTCTACTGAAGATGACTTAAGTTTCATATAATTTGGATTTTTGGAAGTAAAATATCACCAGTTTTTCACTTTCCTTAGATTAATGCTGCACATTAAAAACATATTCAGGTAACAGAATGGCCATCTACCCTGGAATCTCAGGATCTTCACATCCTATAAGGTAGGTATTATTACTTCTATTATAGGATAAGCAAAGTACAGGATAAGGCCCTAAACCCTATACCTCCCTCAGTGAGAGGGTGTGTTCGATCTTGCTCTAAAGATACATGACTCTCAGTTTCTGTGCTTTGTATAGAAAAGTTATAGATATCCAGATGTATTTTAATATCACAGATGCAACATAATCTGTCCTTAGCACGTCAGGATCCAAGCTATGATGACAGACCCAGATAATGAGCTTTTGCGTGACCCATTGCTCTTTATTCTTCTTTAAAAACTTTAGGCACACCTGTATGCAGTGAAAAGCATTAAAATGTAGGAAATAATTCTAAGATTACTGCTTTTCTTCTCTGCCAAATCCATGTGCTGTCTGTACATACAATCCTAAAATGAAATTGGGAACGAAGTCATGTTTGTCTTCTCAGTATCTTCAAGAGCAACAACAAAACAGCTAATATTTATTAAGAG